GTAGTCGTTGTTGTGCTTGTGGTGGAAGTTGTCGAGCTTGATGTTGACGTCGTTGTTGTCGTAGTTGAAGTTGTTGATGTCGTAGTTGAGGTGGATGTCGTCGAAGTTGTAGAAGTCGAAGTCGATGTTGATGTTTCAGTAGTAGTTGTTGTTGAAGTTGTTGTGGTACTCGTGGTTGTCGAGGTGGATGTAGTGCTAGTAGTTGATGATGTCGTTGTACTAGTCGTTGTTGTCACACATGGAAAATATGAAGTTATTACAGTGAATGTAACGCAATACTGCGCAGATTGTACCTGCTCGCTAAAATGATAAAAAACGTACAATGCAGTAATTATTGGATAAGATAAAAGCAGCTTTACTCAGTGAAGGCGATTATGCACAGTTGCTGTTGGCCAAGTTGATTTATTTGTGGTGCCCATGTGAATGTAACATAGACTAGTGATGCATTTGCCGATGATTGTGTTATATTACTAACTTCCATCCCAGTAATTCCTGCCGATATGACAATATCACTAACATTTGAGAGGAATGGATTACATCTATTGATCACAAATATATTGAAACTTTTCATAACGCCTGCTGTTACTTCGAGACAACCATTCAGTGGTATAATAATCGGTGTTATTGAGCAGTTTGGCGTCGGCATGACATAAATCAGAAATTGAACTGGAACTGAGCTCATAGGAGTCATACTGGTGGAGTCGATAAAATCTTCAACCTGCAAGGAAATGTTATATATGTGTGTTATAATTTTTGTTGCGAAAATTTCTAAATTAGATATTTTACTAATATGCCATACTTTTTAACACCTTTTTCAAACGCGTTGAACCCAGTACTCATATAATGAGAATATAGAACATGAAAAAATTGTTTTTGGCAGAGAAAAATACCTGTCAATCGGTAACATACTTCTATCGGTATCGGTGAGATGTTTATTGCAATACATGATGAGATTAATTAAATTTTCAAATCAATACACTCGTATTCAAATCGACAGGCAATTCATCCGTTTTTTCATATGCTAAGTAATCACATATCGTCCTAGTGCTTTCTTGAGGGTGTATGTGTGAATGTTATATTCTTCTCTAGCACCCACACCCTTCTTTCTCCTCCTATTCATATATTTCAACTCCACTTACTTGAATCGATACAGCATACCAAGTGTTTGGTATAAGTCCTGTGAATGTCAGTGTGCAGTTTGATAAAGTCGTACCATTGGGTACCGTATTCGGATAGCAAATACCACCACATTCGTCAATGGCCTGGCGTACTGGATATGAGCTAGTGAGTGGTAGCGTTCCTGCGGTTTCAAGGGTAGTTGTACTTTCAGTTGTTGTTGTCGTCGCCGTTGTTGTTGTCGTCGTTGTCGATGTTGTTGCCGTTGTTGTCGATGTTGCTGTTGATGTCGTTGTCGTCGTTGTTGTTGATGTCGTTGTCGTCGTTGTTGTTGATGTCGTTGTCGTCGTCGATGTTGTGGATGTTGTCGATGTAGTTTTTGTCGTGCTTGTTGTTGATGTTGTTGATGTTGTTCTTGCCACGGTTGTTGCGACAATCGGACAACCAGAAAGTGAGCTACAAAAACCTGAGGCCGGACAACTAGGTGCTGACAAACAAGGTGCACTGGAACATAAGCAGATATTATCACAAGTAGAACCGGTGCATATACAAGGAAAAATAATACATGATCTTTTTTTTCTAATATGAGAAATTTCTCCGTTTGTATTTGTTTTTCTATACATATGGTGAGCCGATTGATCATATAAATTTTCGTTTACATTCGATTGTCTTCGTCTTCGATGCCCAGGTACGTACACTGACCATCGACACCGTAAATCATCACCTGCATTGACGTCTAAGATGGGTATTTGAATTTGAGTTGTCCTGTTTACGATGGCATATTGTGGTGAAACGACGTTCGCTTCAGGTGGGGTGTTTATAATACCGTCGGGTCGTAGTCGAAGATCAATGAAACATACAATTGACCAGTAAAGATTATTTTGTTGCGGACTGTCTACAGCGCGCCAAGCACTTCCTCGATACGATATGTAGAAGTGTGCTCCAGCGAGCAGTGTTGCATTGACTGACCGTTCACTAGTCATCATGCCTAGCGACGAACTAACTGAAACACAATCAGTTAAAATATTCACTGGATTCACTGAATAACCGCCATCGGTTGAACAGTCAACAACACATGTTAGATTGGTGTTCGAACCACCGCGACCACTGGTAGAAATTGGCACATTGTTTGCACATTTCATCGTCGGATAGCTCCAAGAATATGATTGAATGATACTAATTACAACCGTGCTCGAATTAGTTTGTGGATCAGCAGGTTCCCATCTAATCGTGCCGCCATTGAAATGAATGCTCTCGATGATAATAAAGCATTGGCAAGCAATTAGTAGTACATAAATCATTTCGATGATATTTTGAAAGAATGAAGATCTGAAAAGCACATACAATATTCTTTGTCGAACTTGTTTAAAAGATATCGTATAAGTTGTGACAAAACTGAATCAAAAGTTATTTTCTTCATTAAACAGCGGATGCTTCAAAATAGATGATGGTCTCTTGAAGGTGTACGTGGGTGTCGGTGTGGGATATAGAAAAGACACCTATATCCTAGATTACAGTTGCCAGTAGCAACGTGAAGATTAATCTTGGACGTCTAAAAGTTCAGCCTTGAAGACAATCTTTTGCGCTCTTTTTAAATGGGTCGTTAGTTTTGAAATAAAAATTTTTTCAGCACCCAGTTTGAGTGGTAGTGCCCAGATTGCTATTAAAAACCTCATTACTGGTAGACTCTCACTATCGAAATGCCGGAAGAAAAGCATATTTTGTGCCCAGTTTTCATGAATAAAATGAATTGTATGTCGGTGCATTCATAGTAAATAATTTAAAATCAATCTTTTGTACCGGTCTCCAAGTCTAGATGTGCTCAAAATGAATTAAAATATGCTAATACCTGTGTTGCAATTCACTGTCAAGCGAATCACATCTTTGCAAAGGTACAGACGCACTTACACTTTCATCAATCAAACTTTTGGCTCAACTGTACACATACTGACGCGCTAAATCTGTGAATATCGATCGAGGAAATAGTTTGTCATTATGTATTGATTTACCTGAATTATAGCCTAATAGAAACTATGCATACCTCTTGAAAACGAAAGATTTTCCGTTGTTTTTGATGAGCAAAGATATTTACTGTCGCTAAAATAGCAAAAATAGGTTTTACATGGCACAGAACAATCCCGAAGGCGCAGATAAATATACTGATTGACGAGAACAAAATACTTACATAAAAATTGTGAACGATAAGATTTAAAATGAAGCAAGATACACGACGCCGTACTTTAGACAGCAAAATCGTACATTTCTTTTTACCGATTGTTTATGATTTTGTCCATCTATGAATGCACCATTATTTGTGAAGACCTTGCTTATATTATTTTTCTATAATTAAAAAACTCCTTTTTTTATACAGATGCGTCCAGTAATTTGTCAGAATAATTGCCTTTTGTTTCTTTCATAGGAGCAGAGTACCCAAAATCAATACAAACATACAGTAGAGGTTAGAATATGATGTGAATAAAATTAATCAATGCAATGCTTGCTTCGTAAGTTTACTTTCAACAGAATTCAATAAAAAAGTAATTATAAGGATTCTACACGAAAATTTAATTTAAGCCTGAATAATGTTGTTGATCTTTATGGAATCAGCAAAGAACTGAAACAAGTAAGGAATAGTTAGATCGGATCGGATTAATTAGCACCGAAGTTTTTTTAGGGTGAGTGGGTGTGTGGTTGTAACTGTTATATTTACTTCTCACTCACACCTACATCCAGAATACACCCTCAAGATGAGCCACACCCGCACTCACACATAGAATACACCTTCACCCTTAACATGAATCATACCCACACCCACCCTCAAGATGGTTGATCAATATTAGTAAACAGAATGCAGTTAACAAGCAGAGAATATTCTTAGTGAGTGGTACGCCAAGTCAGCATTTTTTGCACTTTTAATATTTATAAATCGTGGCTGATAAAATTCACAAATTAATGGCTCCGGTTGCTGCATAAGCTTTTCTCCATGCTAACACGGTTACATAATCACGAACTGAGATCTTTCCTGTTACTGTTTCGTTTCTCATATACGTTCCATAGAATTCATCAATTATTCCTTTGATAATCGATTGTGCAGAATAGTAATCTTTAATAATTCGAATTCGTTTTGTTTGCGAACGACGAAGAAAATAGTAAAGATCATCACGATGTCGAAATTTTGCAAAATATGTTGGATTATGTAAACAATGAATATGCCAAGCACTCCACAAGGAATCTTGTGAATCTGATGGATGATCTAATACAGAAACTTCATGTTGATGACTAAGACTTGACGAATAAATATGATTGATCGCAATTTCACCAGCATATAATGATGTAACACCACGCCACCATTTTGGCCATTCACCAATATTTGGCAAATCTTCAATACCTAAAAGAATTAAATTCGAAAGAAACAAATAAATATAAGGTATCATTGTGAATGAATCAATGAATTGTTTATCTTTTCGATACAGTTTAGCTGAAAAGAAATACCTGGAACATGTCGACCAAATTCATTTCGAAGAAGATATCTTCCGATGTGTGTAGTTAGATTAGCAATTTTGATTGAATCTTTTGGGCTTACCAACCATGTCGAACAAAGATTGTGAATTCCCATATGTGTATAACCCAGTTTTTTAGCAATCATACGTAATCGAATATTTGTAAATTCAGTTCCATGACCAAGTCCTCCGAATTGTTTTTTTTGCAATTTAATCGGATGTTTTCGAAGTAGACCTAAAAATAAACCAGGACTGAGTATAGCATCTTGATCTACCCTTAATATCCATTTATAATTTATGGTTGCTTGTTGATATTGTGGGGTTACCATAAAAGCAATTGATGTCATATAAAGATAATCTTTCCAATCTGAAACGATTTGATCTTCTAGTTTTTGATAAAAACAATCAGGAATTAAATTGAGCTTGTAATTGTAGGAAAGTGGTATACAATTTACTGGTAATTGATAGCAACTAGGCAACTCACAAAATACAATTAAATCAATAATCACTTGTTCTGATAATGGAGAAAATATTTGAATGAAACGCCATGATTCATAGAGTAAATGAAATTCGGCGATATGCGAGGTTTCTTTGGCGAGTGCTAAAACAACAGCAATATGAACGATTTCTGATCTTGAAATTGATGACGGTAACAAAATTGAAGAAGAGGAAGAAGACGAAGGACAATCAGTAGGACAAGCTGAAGGAGATGGACAGGGTGCTGAAGAGGAAGATGTTAAGATAGTTGTAGATGCAATGCTGGTATCAATGGACTGTTGATTTGTACAGTAAAATTGACTTGTTCGCCAAATCAAAACGATGAATATAACAAAAAATGATAGTTTCAATATAAACCAATAAGAACACCTCATGTTACTGAATCCTAAAGTTATTAATTCATTAGATTTACTACAGTAAAACTATACAATATAAGGAGCCAATAGGTGAAGAAAGTATCAGAGCCACGAGATAGAAATGAAATCACATCGGCTAATTCAAGGTCTAAAATCAGAAAGTCATTTTAGAAATATAATAAAAAAATTGAGAATTCTGCACGTGAGAATCCTAATCAAACAGATTCTTTTTATTTATATCAATGGATGTATCAATGAAGATTACTCTAATCGAAAATAGTCTGAGCTCAAAATTATATGATTGCCTCAGCGATAATCAAGTTACAACAGAAGAATCAATCGTTACAAAGATTCTGTCTCTTGTCAGGAATGAAAAATAAAAAATCACATTCTTTTATAAAAAAAAATGTAACAACTCGCACGTTGACGTATGAGAGAATTTCAACGAGCAGAATTGTTTCACCATGTGAACAACACAGAAAAAATTATTGGTATTGACTACTGTTGCTGTTCTGTTATGTGTTGTCATCAACATCCATCAGAATTGTCTGGATTCATTTGTCGAGAAAGAGAAATAAGAATAAAAAAAACCGATCGAACATCTACGTTATGCGACTATTTGATGACATTTATAGTTTACTCATAGAAGATTCTCAAATTTATCTGTTTTCTCCTATATATAAAAATCCTTTGAAAACAAAATACTTTTATAATTTCTGTCAAGTAGCATAATCAGTCAAGCAAGGTTGTATACAAACTCAATCAAAATGAAGGCATGTCGCTTTGTTGTAGAATAATACATGAATCTTCTTAAAATGACATCAGTATTGATAAAAGAAATAACCACAAATACGGCTTTAAAAAACTAATAATTTTTATTCATTGCCTTAAACTTAGCCGAAAACAAATCGAATATGATCCTAATCCATGTTGAAACTTGATACAAAATAATTTAACTAATAGAGTAACATTGCATTATTCAATTATTACTTTTTGATTCATAACTTTCAAAACCTTATAAAAACAACGTAACATGAACATTTTGTATTTAAAAACAAACAAAAATAACCAAACGAATCAAAACTACGCATTTGTCTTTTGGAGAATCTTCATAACTGTATCACGTACAAGTTCGAATACTTTGGCACGATGTTTATTCTTAGGTAACATATGACTTTGTCCATGTTGATCAATATATGTTAGAAATTTGGGATGAACCAGTATGTTAAATTTAAGAATATCACCCTTATCATTATCTTTTCCACAATAACCATAGGCAGATGAGAGTATATACATTCCATAATCTTGTGATAGACGTTCACAGATTTTAGTATAAATCCGAAATAATTCTATATTATCCATTATTCCATCTAAACCAAAGTCACTCATCTGTAAAGTCACCCTCGTCTCATAATTTGGTATGCCAAAAATAGTCAATGATTCAGGTGATGATCGACCGCCACGACGGATATTCCAATCACGCTGCTTATGTTGATTATCTTTCATAACAAATAAATCACCGGCATAGATTCCATTCTTGTAACCGAGTTTAGTAGCTTCCAAAGCAACCATATCAGAATAAGTCTGGAACATCTGCTTCCAATAAACGGGCGAATCTTTAATATCAACTGGAAACGAAGAAGTCCACTAGAAAAAATATCATATAAATCAAAATTTACTTCTTTTTATTGTTTCTCACTTGTTCGATATACATTCCACCAATTGTGCCACAGAGACTAATTGAAGTAGGAAAGAATTTGCCTTCGAGGACAAAACCACAAACTGTATAATCTGCATCGATATCACCGGAGCGTTTTTGTGGTTCTATGAATTCTTCCACTACAGCCATTTCTGGTAAGGTTAATTCACCCTCAAGTGTTTGTTCTATATGTTTTTGTAAATATGATACTCGCTCTTTCTGAACTTTGTTAAAATCATACATAACAGGATGATCATTTGGAGCCATAGATGACCAACCACCTGCACCACTAGAGTCTAGTTTAACGAATGATGTTACTTGATGTTTACTATAAAGATTATCGATTGCTTGAATTATTGCTCGAGCAAAAATCTAGATAAAGAAAATCAAAAATGATTATTTGAATATTTCGTTTAAACTATCTAAATACCTCAATATTTTTTGATGTATTTTTTGTATGTGCTGGATCGAGTTGTTCCACGTTTTCTATATATCCATCGTAGTCTTCAATTAAAGTACCATCTACTGACACTGCTATCATTTGTGGTAACGCTGTAAAACCATTTGATTTAAGAAGAAAATGATGTTCAGCCTTATCATTCTTGGGTATGTCAGGCAATAATAAACGATCGGAATAATTTTCAAGTTGAAGTTGATGCCATTCAGTCATATGGTATGGAAAAACAAATGATCGACGACTATTCTTAGTAATTGTTTCAAAATGTCGTTTAAGCATATAGATATGATATTCTGGATAGAATTCTTTAGGACACCGTTGAGCGAATTCTTCACAAAGAATTGTATATCGTTGTGGATTATCTTGGAACAAACGAATCAATTCATACAAACAACCAGACGAATTTTCATATAGAATTTCAATATGTACTTCTCGTTGTAGATATTTTTCAATGACAACCTTCATTTTCAAATATAATCCTAATTCAACAGGATTTGGTGGTGCATAAACAAGAATTCGACCACCAGAACGAAATCCAGTTGATAACCATAGAGCAGGAAGTAGTGATCGATCGTAACCACGTAGATTAGCAAAACAGCTAGAATCTGAACCAAGTATTTGAATGGCAATATCATCGAAAATAATAATTTGATCGGCATCTTCGAATGTCAATGCAATACGACGTGATAATTCAACTCGATAATCGAGATCAGCTGGATATTCAGCACCAAAAGTAAACAATGCATCTGATGAGAGATCAGATGGACTAATCTTCTGCGATGATAATGGATGATCACAATGATTTAAATTGACATTGCAATTTAGAACAGTATCATTTGATTGAGAGATCATTGTTGGTTCTAAAAATTAAATTATATAGTACAGACAAGTGTTGTTTAAAAAAAAATCCATCTAATTATTGAAACATGTGAATGATTTTATCTAACACTGAACAACTTTTTTCTTGTTAATTTATCTCATGTAAACATTTTTTCTCCTAGCAGACTGATGAAACGATAGATCTAGACATATATATTCTCTTTCCTTTTATATGTAACATGATTCATGTTTTATAAACATTATCATCATACTGAAAATGTTGCTAACTAATTAGTCGTTTATATTATTATCGAAGCAGAATAAAACATACAAACTGTTGTTATTTTATAAAATTGATATGAAATAGATTATATTTATATGCCTATTTACACATCACAAATTAAGCTTCGCATATTAAATCAATTAGTTACGGATACAGCTTGATATAATATGTTATTATCAATTAGATATAGATTATTTGAAGTGAATATATATCAATGTGGATCATTTCGAACTGAATTAGTACTATATTTTGTCATTATCTAATATTTTCAATATCAACTAAATATAATTTTTGAATGAAATTAGGTTCATCAGGTACAAGGAATAAGAAAAAAATAACTTCTTTTCGACATATAACTTACCCGCTAACATTATTCTATTCCAAGAGAACAATATGAAAAGAAAAAATGCCCATAAATAATATTCTCTTCCTCTTTCTCTCGTCAATTTACATTAAATGCGTTTGCACTCATATTCTTTTTCGTCTTTTTCTTTTCAATGCCCACGCAGTCGACCTAGCCTATTCCCAGTATTCTTTATCTTTCTTTCTCTCTTTCTTTCCGTTCTTAATTATGAAGAAAGAAAAAAGACGACATTCCACAAAAACAAAAAATAACTGTTCGTTATCGTCAACGAATTCTTTTTGTATTTTCTTTCACATTATTACATGATATATGACTTAGAAAGAAAAATAATAACAAATGTAATAATCAAAAATACGACTTGAGAAAAATCACTTTTACACAACGCTAACATCAAGATAAAAAGAAGCGTGATATACATAACATAAATTCAAAAAAAAAACATCGTATAAATATGTATGACATGCAAATACTTCAATGGCATGTCTTCTCTTTTTGTAATCAATGTATTTAATTAAAATACAGATAAGAAAATAAAAAGGAAACTTTTATTGTATACTCATGTTCTTCTTATTTATTTATTAATTAATTTGATAAACGTATTTCAAAGTTTACTTCTATTGCTAATTTGTATAATCACTCAAAGTTTAGTACGTTAGCATTCTAATAAGATTAATTATCCTATATATTTCTGCCCAAATAAATTTTCATTCATATATTTTTATAAAGTTCAATTGTATATAATGTTCTTCAATAGCTACTATTTGCTTATTTACCAAAATACGACAATGGTTGTTTTGTTCACAATCATTGTTAACAGAATATTATGTTTAATTCGCACAAGTAAAACAATTAATCTAATACTAATGCATTAGTTGCATCGTGTCTATAAAAAAATTAAGAGTTGAAAGTAGATTTTGATGTCTTGAAATACACTTGTCTCTTTCTTAAACACAAGATTCTGCAGGAAGAGAGAGAAAAATAGTTATAAGTTCATAATTGAATTTTATCGTCCTACGACTAACACTAGCAACTGTATCATATTTCAGATTTTAATCTCATGTATATTGCACTACCACCTTTCAACATACTTGTCGAAGGTTATTTTTTTACTTAATTTTTGTTTTCTGCATAGATCATGATCTATCACCAAAGGTTCTCATATCTCCTTATGAATGTTAGCATATGATATGTTTTTGTTAGTTCATTTTACAGTATTTTACGTGCAAATAAGTATTATCATGGTAAACGAAGAACTAGCTCTGTCTCCAACATCATTATCTCTCGAAACAGCAAAGTCGTGTGTCATAATTTCTACAGAATCATCCATTAGCATATATGATCTTTATACTAATCAACGACGTCTTCTCATTTTAATATTACTTTCTCTAGCTGGTATTGTATTACCATTTTCTGATACTGTTTATTTGCCTGCTTTGGCAGAAATAGAACATGATTTGCATGCCAGCACTGTACTTGTCGATTATACAATTTCAGCATATCTTATTTCGGCTGGTATCGCTGGATTTCTCTGGGGACCATTGAGTGATCGATTCGGTCGTAAGATTATTCTTATCGTTACTTTTATCCTGTTCTTGGCTTTCACCATCGTATGTGCTCTAGCACGTACTATTGCTGTTTTACTCGTGTTTCGTTCATTGCAAGGTGCAGTAATATGTGCATCGTTCGTTGTGGGTCAAAGTGCTGTTGTTGATATATATCCACCAGAAAAAATTGGTTTCGCTATGGGTCTCTTTCTCGTTCCATTACTTGTTGGACCTATCATTGGACCATTTATCGGCGGAATATTATCTAGCGTATTTGGTTGGCGAAGCACTTTTATAGCGCTGGGTATCATGACTATTATTGCTACTCTTATGATTTTTTTTTTCGTTCCTGAAACTCATCCTCATCTTGTATTTCAGAGATTGTCACGAAAGTTACAGAAAAATTCTGCCGATAAAAATACAAAAGCTGCATTGAATATACGAGAAACTGATATCATTATGAAGCCACGTTTCATACCACCATGGCGTTCATTGATATTTTTATTCGATATGACACTGATTCCTCATATTGCTCTGTGCAATAGCAATTTTTCTATTCTATTTCTTTTATTTACCGACATGTCCAATCGACTAACTGAAAAACCTTATTTACTCTCACCATTTTCCATAGGTCTCTGTTACATTCCAACTGGTATCGGATCACTAACGGGAAGTTTATGTGGTGGTTGGATTTCTGATTGGTCAGCAAAACGTTTTCCTCGAGCGATTGAAGGTCGTCTCATATTTAATTTGATCGGCTCTTTTCTATGTCCTTTTGGATTATTATTGTGTGGATGGTCATTTCATTTTAATCTTCATCTAGCTGGACCACTAATTGGTTCAACATTATTTTGCTTCGGTGAGACATTTATGTTCACAAGTACTTCTGCATTTGCTACGATAAAAAAACCAACAATGGCTGGTACTATTCTTGCTCTAATCAGTTCGATCGGCTTCTTATCTTCTGGTATTGGAATTATTGTTATCATTCCATTATTCAAAATACTTAAGTTTGGATACTTGTTTAGCATCTTAGCTGCAATTGTTTTCTTGCTTATATGTATATCGGGGATGGTTATCATATTCCAAATACGTAAATCAAACTTGACGACTACTCATTCTAATATTATGAAAACTACCCCTTCGTCACATGCATTAATTGATCAATCAAAAGATATCATTCCAATCCAGTTCTTTTAATTTATAAAAAACCGCTAAATATAAATTTCCCTTTTCTATTATCAATACATAAATTTAATTGTCAACTAAGATGGTTGATCTTTGTATGCGTAATACAAATTAGATTGATATAATTTTAATATTTTTCAATGATTCGTAAGAGAACACATTAAACTATTTAAAAGACAATTTTTTTGTTACCTGCCCTGAATCATTTTTACTGAATTTCTCTTGCATCCGTTATATTTATATTACAGTAGATGACTGAAATGTCTGTCGTTGATTTTATAATTAATTATCATACATAAGTGTAAAAAACATTTTTTTTTCTTCGGTAATTCTTGAAAATCTATATTTTTTTAAAAATTATTTTATATTAGGATCTTAATGATCCTCTCTTGGCAAGTTTTCTTTCATTTGCAATTCGATATTTAAACAGTTTCTTTTTTATTATACATCTCATATATATTACATAGTAGTTGATAATAATTTTTCAAAAAAAAACATCAAGATCGTTTAGATGCTTATCTATGAGAAACGTTACGATTATTCAATATCTAAATACTGTTGTAATGGATAATGACTACAATGATTTTGTCTTATTCTTCTTTTTATGTGAGCATGGCTCTCACTTTCTTTTATAAATTCTCTTCTACATTTTACATTTTGATATCGTTTTTATTACAACCATAAAACATATACTATTAAGTCTCTTATCAATATTTATCTATACATGTCTTCATACTGTAATAATGATAATAAATTATCAACATAAATAAATCCTTCATTGAGGTAAATTTTATAAGAGAAAGAATACATATAATCATACAAACTTCTTTTGTTAGTATCGATGGCTTTTTTTGAATCTTCGCAAAAGGGTATGCTCATTGCACTATGTGTAATTGGAATATTCGGAGTGATTACACTTGCACTTGCCGCTGCTACTCTTGGTACTCTAAATAGACGATTTGATACTATCACTGCAACAGCAACAACGAGCAAAGCGAAACTCAATTCACCTTTAGCTGAAACGATTCGTATCGATGATCTTATGAATCATTTAAGACAATTGCAACGTATTGCTGACGAATCAAATGGTAATCGAGCAATAAATACGAGAGGATTTAATGAAACTGTTAACTATATCTATAATTATCTACAAAATCAAGTTACTGGTTTAAAAGTTAAACGAGAAACGTTTCAAATACGAAATTTTGCTCTTGCAAAAGATCCAATCTTGCTCTCGCTGATCAATGGTACAGTAAAAAATTTTACATATTCATTGAATCTTGCTAGATCTGAATTCACTTATGTTAATTACTCGACTGCAATTAACTTTCCGGACTATGTTCGTGTTGTTAATATTCCAAATCTTGGATGCACAGCCGATGATTGGAAGAATGTAGCAGGTCTTGTTGCATTAGTGAAAGCAGGAGGTACATGTACATATGCCGAAAAAGGTATTCTTGCTGCGAACAGTAGTATCAGGGCCTTACTCTTCTATAATCATGGAGAAACAAGTAATAGTCTTGCTCCAATTATTACGCGCCTTCGTTATAACAATCAATTACCTGCACTTTTCCTATCGTATGCTGCTGGACAAGCGCTAGCAGATGCAGCATTAGTAGGAGCAACTGTCAAACTTGAAATACAATTACAAAATTTAGGAACATATCCAGTTGATAATATTTGTGCGGATACTGTAGATGGAGATCCAACACAAACTATTGTTGTAGGAAGTCATACTGATAGTGTTCCAGCTGGTCCAGGTATCAATGACAATGGTAAGTATGATTTGATCTATTATTGAAAGAAATTAATAGTATTTATCCGAAAGTTATGAGCACTTAGGAATTTTAGACGAACAGATTATTTATTATCTTGTTAATTTATTCTTATCTAGGTAGCGGTACTGCAGCTAATCTGGTTTTGGCAACAAACTTAGCACGTCTTTACCAAACGGCGACTTACAATAAGTATAAATATCGCGTTCGTTTTTGTTGGTGGGCTGCAGAAGAAATTGGTTTAGCTGGATCAAGTCATCATGTACGAACTGCTCAGAGTGCGACTGTTGTAGGTGATCGTCTTCGAGATTATTTGCTCAATCTTAATTTTGATATGGCAGGTTCACCTAACTTCATTTTCGGAATTTATGATGCTAAAACAGCTATAAATGGTACACCATCAAGCGCACTTCCTGGTAGTACTAAGATTACAGAACTCTATCGTGATTGGTTTATTAAACAAAATTTACCATGGGATTTTAGAGATTTCAATGGTCGAAGTGATTACGGTCCGTTTCTAGCTGCAGGTATTGCTGCTGGTGGTGTAGCAACTGGTTCCGATGCCATAAAAACAGCAGCACAACGTGAAAAATATCAGAAATCCGTAGGAGAAAATAATGCTGGTTTTGCTGGTGCAATACTTGATCCATGTTATCATCTAGCGTGTGATACTTTAACAAATATTCATTTATTTGGTTATGAAAATCTTGTTCAAGCAGCTGCGTATGGCCTTGAATACCTTGGTCAACATGCAAACTTATCTGGCTATCTTTATCCGACTGGTCGGCCATAAATTCATTTAATAGACAATTATAACTGAAAATATGACTTGTTCTCTTAAAAACTAGCGCTCATACAACACTTTTTTCTTAACTATATTCATGGTTTATTTTTTTTTGTAAAGTGATTTTTATTTATCATGATAACAATTAAAATATATAAACTTTCAACATTAAAACGAACGTTTCTAATTGAAATAAAATATAACATGAAATAATAAATAATAATCAAGTCCTTCTTTAATTATGAGATTTTGTTTAGTAATAGATCAAGTGTATTCCGTATGTTATTCATAGTTTTATTCATATCAGCAACATTCTTTTCAATCCTATCGACTTTTACTTCCATTGACATTAATTTCTTTATTTTATCATTTGATTCTTGTTGTGCTGTAATTAATTCTGGTAAACCAATACAACTATCAATAACTTTTTTTTGTTCTCGTTTCAATCGTTGATTAAAATGTATCGATCGATATAATCTTCGTTGTATTTTAATATATTCTGATGTTGGCGATTGATGTTTTCGATTTAAATACCAACGTTTTATGGCATATTTAATAATATTAGCAGCTTGAATTCGACGTTCTTTACCTAATCCAATATTTACCACGAAATTATGTACATATTTTTCCGATCGAGTTAATTCAAGTTTTTGTGCGAGAATTGAAATTAATAAAGCCGTCGATAAAACACCAATTAATGCTGTGATTGCAGCAACAGCTAAAATAAACCGAAAAATAAATTAAATTACAATACTAATACTTTATCTACCTCGTCCACAATAACGCGATGGTTTTAAATCTCCATAGCCTAATAGTAACAAACATATAATATTATTTAAAAATATTCATTATATTTCATTTACCAACAGTAGTAAATGTCATAATAAATAACCACATTGAATCTAGCATGGATACATGTTCATATCCAAATCTATAATCACATGCTCGTAATGACCAACTACCCATAAAAAAGATAAATGTACAGAATACTAATAAACTACGTGTTGGCCATCGTGTAAGATATGTTTTAGTAAGAAAGAGAAAATCAAATGATACTTGATTAAAATAACCTAATGCTTGTAATGATACATCAGCAACCAAATGAGAATGAAATGTAACAAGACGACATATTAAATAAACACGTGCAAACACTAGATTTTAAAAGAATTCAAAATATAATTTTCATACTATTAATCTTTAAACTTACTTGGTAAACCAAGTGCAACATCAAAAGCTATATAAGATTTTTCTAGAAGATCTTTTTCCGTTGGATGAAAATGTTTAACATGACGAGTTAATCGAAAACATCGAGGAAAAGGATGTATCATACATATGAATACTTCGAATAATATTAAAAATATTTTGGTACCTGTTAAACCAATACGCCAATGATCGAGTGAATTATTAACAGCATAGAAATCTAAATCTATACGATGATAATAAAAAACAAGATTAACAAGTATCATAGTTGTTATGCTTATTATTAATTTAATACGTTCACTAATACATGTATATGCATCATTGTTTTTTATATTCATAAAAGTAATTTCATTTTCAATAATCATGAGAATAACACCGGATATACCAAGAACACACATAATATTACTTATTTCTCTACTATAAATGATAAAAAAAAATTTAAATGAAAAAAAAAACTAAGAAAATATTTCTTACAGTCGATTATATAATACTTTTCGTTTGTATAATCGACGGCTTACATCAGCCATTAAACTAGTTCTTGTAGATCTTCGTCTTTTATTCAATAGCGGATTAAGTTCACCTTCATTATTTATTTCATCAGTCGTTTCGAATGATGAAATATTTGATACTGGTGGTGTTGAATCAGGAATTAAAACAATTGTCGTTAATGGTAATGATGCTTCACTATGCGATTTATTACATAAGATGTCAGATGAATGTAAATTGTCAGTTGTTGACATCTTGTATAGAAAATAAATAAATTTTCTAAAATTTCATGTACTAGTTGATATATAAGCAAAAATCTAAAATTATGTATACAAATCTAGTTGGAAGCAACATGAAAAGAAAATATAGATGATTCATTAATACTCACATATACATAAAAAAAACTATTAATAATCGTGTTTCAATTGTAAGTGCAAAATAAACTGATATAGACTATGTGTACAAGTATTACTTAGAATATTACTTCTACTATCATTCTTTTCGATAAATACTCGAATTCCAACACGTTTCTCTCCTTATATGTCTTATCTGTATTATTGATATCGTTCTCTGTTAAGATTTTTTTAAGTATATACTTTATGCCCTATACATATGTGAGATGGATTTCTTAAATTATATTCAACGAATACCATACGTTTATTGACAGAAATACATTCAAGTATTATTATTTAAAATATTCTCAAAATATAAAACATCGATTGATATTATTTGAAATTCCAGCATGAGTGAGAACTGAACAATATATAGATCATCATTTTATTTGTATTGTTGTAGTATGCAACGCATGTTTCACAAGCGATTACGTCATTAAAATTAATTTCTCATTGGATGATATCGACATCGTTAAAAGATAAATCGATCTTCAAAAAACAATAGATTTTGTACGCTTAAATTATATCGTAGAAGTCATCATATATTTTAATAAGCTTCCGACATTTTAGAAAAATCAATAGTTGACAATTTAAAAAGAGATTATGTTGACAACGGCAAACTTCATTTTCTATAAGGATAGAATAGAAAAAATTCATTAAATCTTGATACTATGACCTAATAATTAGATGCACAGTAGAGTCCTTTTGAATACCATAATTCGAGAAAATTCGATTGTCTTCAATTTGTTTGCCTGCAAAAACAATTCTTTGTTGGTCCATAGGTATCGAAGTGCGTTCATAGATAGCGTGCTTAACTTGAGCCACTGTATCATAATAAAAAATGTCTAAATCAACAACATTACGTTCATTATTGGTAGTATAAATCGAAACAAATACATGATATTTTTCACGAATAACTTCCGGACATGTTACCATCCACAAATTACTTTCATTCTTAATATTCTCGTATGATGTAAGAGTATGTTTATCTTCAAGTGTTCGACCTTCAAAACTTAAGAATTGATCACATGGGAATACGTTGATATACTGTGCAATTTTGTCTTTAATTTGAATAATAGTGAAAGATGGATCAAAATCGATCATGAATGGTTCAAATTGTTCACATCCTTTACTTGGAATATGTAAAATAGTAAGATGCATTTCTAAAGATACAGAGTATATCATTCATTATCATTCATGTAACAAAGACAAATAATTTTACACAAATCAAGATTAGTGATGATAGCTCAGTCCAGTTTCAAGTGTTTTTTTTGTAACGGCTTTTAATTACTATCACATCTACAAGTGTACATGAATATACATATCGAAGACAGTAAATATCTTTCACAGTAATGTATGGTAATATTATTTTTCATCACTAACTATTTAGATTCGATGTATATGATCAAGATGTAATAATGCCTCTCATGTAAAAATACATTGGCCTGTGAATATATCCGATAGATTTATGTTTCGATAAGACAGTTGAATCGAACTTGATTGAGACGAAAGGAAATGTATAGAAAATTCAAAATATATCGAATAACTAGTTATTAACTTATATTTCTTAATTCTATTTCGTCCGACAAATTTCTTAGTGTTATTACTATTTGTTATTTTATCAAAAAATTATTCTCCAATACTATTCGAATTTGATTTATCGTTCTCACACACATTGTTTTGCTATTATTTTATATCCTCAAATTTTTTTTGTCAAATAGAAAATATTTTTGACCGTCATAAATACCTGGTTAATTTTAGTTTTTAATGAATAGCAATGTTTCTCTGTACTATAACTTGTACTTTTCCTATCAATGACAAGAAAACAAATAATATAATAAAAAACTGTTTCGCTACAATATATTTATTAGAGTAGTTAATAGTTAACATACCTCCACAATTTATTTTATGCGTCGTATGCAGGATTTCGTCGGTAAAGAAGTAGAAACATTCATTTTTATTATATGTTTTGTTAAGTAAACAAACAACCACGTGGTAATAGATTTATTTTATGTGTCGTATGATTTTATACTTATTTCTTACTCACTAGTTAAAAAACGATACTGATAGTATTATGCGTGGTAAGTTGAGATCTTCTTGTTGTAATTACAACCTAATATCAATGACTCTCTAAATGAAATTGAATATTAAACAACCTTATCCGGTAGATGAAGCTTTAAACATAGTCAGTTAAATCTTATTCCGATTTGAATTTATTATATCAGCTTTATACTATCTTCAATAAGATTTGATAAGATCAAGAATATTTGTTAACCGACATAGAGTTCTTCTTTTATGAAAAAACTACGCTATCAGCATTTAAGTGGTCAACAAAATGAATTAAATAATAAGCATCAAAATCAATATGCTTTATAATGTGATTCACTTTTTTTTTCTTTCTTTATGTAACGTTGTACAGATGACAAGTATGACATGCACATATATTTTTTCTTTTTTCTTCGTACGAGGGTATATGTTTCAAACGGGTTTTCTCTTGTTTTGATTTACATATTGTTTTTTTTTATTATGTTTTCTTCCAAGTGTCATAGATTCTCTCCTAAGTTGATCTCTCGCTAATATCGTTTCTCTACGTTCAGCTTCCTATCAACGAATGAACAAGACAGATGCAATACAAGTTGCTTAATATGAAAGTAAGGGTAAGAATGGATATGGATATGCGTATGAGTAGGGAATAGACATTCATATTCACACAAATTGTTCTTATAATTGTATTGTTTTCTATTTCTCATAAGATATCAAAAAAAAACTGATGAAAGATAATGTATAAAACTTACAAAGTGTTATTTTTTCATTATAATTGCTCAATAAATACATTTGATGAAAAAAATAAAAAGCAAAGATAAGGAAATCGTCTCCACGAACTTTCTCTAATGAAATATTTTTCAGTAAATTGTGTTCTTTACAAGTATTCTTTAAATAACAGATATTATGAGAATATCTGACTATATGTTATTTTATAAAAAAACGTTTATACTTTTGATTGATCAAAATACTTTTTATATGAGTCATATGCCAAATATTATTTTTTATGTCTCGTATAGAAAGACAAACTTTCGTCGTTCTGTTCTCAAACTCATTTGAGTAGACGAAGTATTAGTTTATTTTTTTATTTCGCAATTTTGATCGGCGAAAATTATAATATGTTCTGTCTTGTAAATCTGAGTGGTTTTTTCCTACTCTTTTACCGTCTACCATGTGTAAAGCATGTTGTTGTTAATGATTTAACTACATACAGCCCGTAAAATATGGCATCATAAAGGTAGATAAGGATTTTTCCTTTCTTTTCTTTTCTATATAAATAATTGTATGCGCGTTTTATTTGAATTATTCTTCTCGATTCGTAAGGCTCCATTTTCCTCCTAAAACAACACTTATATGAGTTTCAGTCTGACATTTTTTGTAATTTATAAAGTTAATCATGGAATATTACCATTGACAAGTGAGGGAAAAAACTCAGTTAGTTAAGATGTGACCGTATAAAATAAAAAAAACACAAACTTTTTTGGTGCTGTTGAAGTTCGTGAATATTTTTATAACTTATCTTTTCGAGCATACAGAAAAATATTATTTATTGAAACTTTTCTATCGTGGTAAATATTTGTGTTTTATATAAAAATAGTTTTAACTTTAAAACTAAATATAGGATCGTTGATGAAATCAGTGTATAGATCTATTACTACATTATCTAATCTTGAGGCTTCTCTCCTATCATCTACAGTTCTTTCATAATAATAACTTTTCATTTTAATTTAAGCAGCCTCAAATTAATTTTTAACAATTATTTACTGAATATATACCAGAAAAAAAAACTAGTATACGATTTATTCAGATATGATAAATTCTTGTTTTCATTATCGAGCACCTATACAGATATGGTATGTAATACATAGTTGTAAAAATAGTTGTCTAGAAAATGTAATTAAGTAATTAACATAGTCAGATTTTAATTTCAATTAGTTTATTATTTATAGAAAAAAATATTAATTTTAAAATAGAATATTTTTAGATAAATACAAACACTTGCATAAACACTTCTATGGCTCATCCACAAGAGAAGGTATTCGTTGATACTAATAATGGAGAAGAATGTGATCAACCACAGAATAGCGACGCTTTAGATGAAGCACTATGTGTACCAGAGTCACAGTCTGTTGGCACGAACATAGGAGCTACCAATTTGTTGACAAATACTTCTACACTAGAAGAAAAAGCGGAAATTTCATTTGGTGTTGCGACTCCAACACCAACTGGAGTCTCACCTTTTAACAACCATGAGATTCCTCAACCATCAGAATCAGGTAAGTTTAAAAAAATGTTTATTGCGTCAGAACAAGAATGTAATTATTTTGTTTGAGATAGGTAAGACAGTCAAACAAGTAGCTGCTCTTAGCGTTCCATATATCCAACCAAGAGACAAAACTAAACGTAAATCAAGTATGTTCTCCTGATTTTTTGTTTTCTTTTAGTGAGTCTATAACTTTTAGAGATTGATTTAAACTGTTCTTAAGATAGATAAATATTTAGAAATCAAACTTTTATAAAAATATTCTTTGACAAAAAATTGAATTAAATCATATAATCTTTAAAAATCTAAGTCTAAATAATTTTTTATTACTCTTAATTTGAGTGTTCATTTGAATCATCATATATCATTTGCTTGTAGTTCTACCAAAATTGCTGCTGTTCAATGTTGAAGAGAAACAAGAACCGGTTCAAGTGACTCAATACATGTGAGATATCATGATAAACTAAATCAATCTCATTCTATATACTACTTTTAGCTCAAAAATACCCAAGAATTCAACAGTATTCAGATATGATCAAAATATAATTTCAATTGATGTCAATCAATTTCATACATGTGCAAAACAAATCGGTCACGGACACTTTGGCGTAGTTTATTCATTCACTATCGACGATCCTTGTGTAATTCGTATGGCAGTTAAAGTATGTATTTTATTTATTAACTTTCATTTTTCGACCCTATAGCTTAATCAGATTTCGAAAAGTCCAACGTTGCCCTTATTTATAGAGAAAACCATCAGTTGCTATGCAAGTATTTCTATTAGAAATCTTTCTTTATCTTATCAATTACTAGCATATTGTTTCATAAAGAAATATGTGTTTTCTAGAGCATTTCATTTCAAAAAGATGAAAACAGTCGTTTGTCGACATATTTTGAGTTATCAACAATGGAGATGATTGGTTCAGGTAACGCTCCATACATCGTCGGTTACTACTGCTCAATGATTGATCTTGTAAGCAAAATCTTTTTTGCACATATAACTCTTTTAGCATATTTTATTTCTTTAAAAGAATACGCGTGAACTTTGCATATGCATGGAATTAATGGACACGTCAATAGCAAAATTCTATCAAGCTATGCATCGATTTTTTTTACCTGAACTTTCACCTAAGAAGCTCAATCGTTTCGTACAACGTTGTGCGTATAATGTAAGACTATTATTATTAATTTATAATCAATTATATTTTCCTGCATAGGTTGTAAGGGCACTTGACTTTTTGAAAAGTAAAAATATTGTTCATCGAGATGTCAAACCGGCAAATATACTGATAAAAAAGGATGGTGAAATTAAATTATGTGATTTTGGTATTTGTGGTAATTTAACTGATACACAATTGGATTTCGATGGAATTGTAGGTACTAAAATGTACTTACCACCTAAACCAGAAAAATGTGCTATTCAAGGTGATATGTGGGCATTGGGTATCAGTTTAATCGAAATTATTAATGGAAAACATCCATTTGCTGATTATGATTCTTATGGACTAGCTTTTGGAATTCTAGCATGGGAACCTAAAGTTCCAACTATAGTTTCAAACGATACACAAGCATTTATTTTACAATTGTAAGTGATTTTAAACTTGAAACATCATTTTATCATAGTAATCATTTTTTTCATATTAAGGTTGAGAAAAGAAGCTCATGAACGACCTCGATCCTATATGGATGTTATAAATGATTCATTTATTTGTAATATGACGGCCATACCATCAGATGATGAAATAGATTTTATTCGACATGTTATCAATAAAACAAATAAATAATAAACTTCATTCCTTAATACACATGTATTGCACTAAACTATATAATCTGTACAAAATTAACTAGAATATTTCCTTTTTATTATTCGTTTGATTAAAATCAACAAAAGACAAATAATATCATATCTGATTCTTTTCCTTTTTTTTATTTTTACCGTCACTTTGCAGTATTCAAACTTCTTGAAAACGAAATTTTTTCATGTAAATAAATAAATACATTTTCATTAACAGACATGAAAGAACTTACTCAAAAAATGTCTGAGTTAATTTTGTTGTATTCACACATACGAATTAAATTACAAATATAAATAAACGGAGGGGTCTTCATCAAAGAATAAGCTAATCTTCAAAAACTCTGATACTGAGGATTGAAGTGGGTCAGCTTCTTATTCACTTGATACCCACATTGCTGAGTTACTTCTCGTGTACACATGGATTTAATAGTGATGGGGAAAATCGACTTTCAGTAGAAAGCTTTCTGCCGTTTGCGCCGCGTTACTTGTTGTTATTCGCTAGTCATATATATTGTCATATTCTCAGCTTATCTTGTTGAAATTCAATAAAACTGATAACTACTGTCAGTATATGACAGTGATTATTGCTGAACATAACGAAAGCTGACAATGAAAATCAACGATTACAATAGATCAAATAGAATTTGAAAAAGAATATTACAGAAAGTCTTCTTCCTCTTCACAAGATATCCTAACAGTCATGATCACTTAAAAATTTCATTATTCTCTCTTATGAGTAAAGCGATACCAATCATTTTGTTTGTTTCATAGAGGAAAACAGTAAGTTTTCTTTTATATTGGTCAATTTTCTCAATATTGCTCAAAAGTATTATTATTGAAATCAATACAAAAGTTTATAAGTTTTATAGTTCCCTTTATAATTAATTTGATTTCTCGAGTTATTCTATTGATGAAATCATCCAGATTTTTAAGATTGAAGAATTCATGGTATTGATTCATCGCTTGCCATTCATGTGTCGGCGAAGACATTATTTAGCCAAGTATGGATTACTCTTGAAAAGTGTGCCAGAGTTGTGACTGTGGATGAAATAGAATAATCATATCACACACCCTCAGTCAATCAAATTTTACTACTGTTTCTTTGCTTAATTTTTACTTTGCATGAACCATCATTTGTTGTTATTATCTAATGATCAAACAGATTTTTTCGTACTCTTCCGCTTCTAATAGTCGGCTTTTTGTACTGTTGTATTGATGAATAAGCCTGTCCTTTAGCTTTTTAGTATATAAATCAACATCTCAGTATGTAGCAAGCAACTAGTCAAAACCTCAGCATTCTCTCAGCACCTACTGATGACTTTCCCTTTGATTCTGGAAAAGTCTTCAATATCTGTTGAGGTACTGGTTAGGCGCTACAATATTTGGATACTGAAAGACGGCACTTACTCGCTTGTTTTTAGAAATCAATCAGCTCTTTTGTGTCTTCCTCATGTGAATTACAAGTTCTATAGGAAATAGTTCTATCAAAAAACTATGAATATTTGCATGTAGATATAACAATATTGTTGAATAACGAGAGAAAAGATGTCAATGGACAGTGAGGTATAGTGTGAGTAGCTGGGACACACTTTTGAGAAAGTGTGGTTTATTTTTTGTACCTGTGAATAACTGCGATATTTTTCGTCACAACTACATACAATTGCGGTATTTTCATCGCAGTTATGCGTAGCAGCGTCGCAATTATTGGTCACGGTGCAAGCACAATTGTGTTGTATTTTCATCGCAATGAAACTCATGTATTCCGAAACAGAAGTATTCTTAGTTCTATGTTTATGCATAATAAAAACTATCCTTAACTTACCTAGTAGTTGTAACTTAAACTAATCAACTTTTTTTTCATAAACCACGAACTTATCTACTATTGGTTTTCAATTAACACATAATAAGTTATTGTCATTAATATAAATCATCAGAGATATTTACAAGAATTTTTATAACTCATGAATTCGACTTTTTTTTGTATCTGTATACATCATATTTTGTTAGATTTTTGTATAAAAATAGTTGGTGTTATTTTAAAATTGTGCTCGAGTGTGTGAATGGATATTGTTTTTGTTAAAGAAAAAGAAATGGTTTGTTTTCTAATTATCAATCAACTTTTCTTTTCAAAGCTATTGGAAAAAGGTTAATGTGTGAAAAATAATGACCTTTCAAACGCTACAATTCGTACGCTTCCAGTACTGTAAAAATGAACTATAGGAAAGAAACTATTGATAGGCGTTAATTTCGTATTTTTGATTGCATGGATAGTGAGCAGTGTGCAGTATGCAATATTAATTTATGTTTAGTGTATTGGAGGAAAGGAAAAGAAACGATACTTTTTGTTATCAAATTTCTTATGTAATGTCTACATAATAGATATTGTCATATTGATAACGATAGATAGTTGTTTTTGTCGATTACAATCAAATTTCGCATTTCCTCTTTCTTTTTCTCTCTCTCTATATATAGAGAGAGCAATAGGTTATGTTTTTTTAAATTTGATAAATCAGTTACTATTGTACACAACAATTGTTATACATTATAATATTAATATTAAAATGAGTGACTGCTGTGCATATGAATGTTATACTTGTGAAGATTCTTCTGACGATGAAGAACCATGTCCACCACCACCACCACCACGTCCTAAAAAAATTAAAGTATGTAAAATATACACAGTCTGCGAAGAACCAGAAACAACCGTCAGCGAAGAGTCGGAACCTCCAGCATGTTGCCCAAAACCGCCTAAGTGTCCACCGCCCTGCCCAAAACCACCTAAGTGTCCACCGCCTTGTCCAAAACCACCTAAATGTCCACC